TGTAAACACCATAGGTGACCAGGGTCAAAAAAGTGCAGAAGGTGAAGGTGTGAATAACCCATCAGTCTTATCCTCAGATACTTGCAGAGTAGATCCCTAATCAGGTGTGGCTCAGTGAGCAAGCGCATATACATTAGGTGGGGCTAATGCATTTTTGTTTGTTCTTTGTTTAGGTTTGTCCAGACAGGATCTCATGTAACCAAGACTGGCCTCAACTTGGTATAGCCAAAGATAATCTTGAACTACTGATCCCCTTCACTTTCTAAGTACTGGGACTCCAGGTGTATTCTACCACTCCCAGTTCTGACTCTTTGGCTCATATAGGATTATTCAGAACAAATTTGTTTTGAATTTGTAAAATTTTTATTATTATTTCATTTTATGTTTATGGGTGTTTGTCTACACATAAGCCACATGGGTGCCTGGTGCCCTCAGAGGTCTGAAGAAGGTGTTGGAACTCCTGGAAATGGAAGTAAAGACGGTGGGTGATGAGCTGCTGTGCGGGTGTTGCAAATTGGACCTGGGTCCTCTGGAAGAGCAGCCAGAGCTCTTTATTGCTGAGACACCTCTCTAGTCCAAGATTAATTTAAACGGAAACAACTACTTAGAATATGCTAACAGGAGATAATATTGTTCTGTTACCAAGTATCTCCAACTGAAAACAACTGATAAAATGGTGCATTGTTAGGAAGGTAATACTTGGAGGTTTTAGGTGCCTTTGGTTTGGCAAGGTAGTTTGAAAAAAACCTGCTTATGTTGTTTTGATTGCCCTTACGTTATTACCACATGGAAATAATGGTGTGGCTTTTTTCTTAGAAATAAAAATAATAAAATAATCTTGAGCCTGGAGAGATAGCTCAGCAGTTTAAAGCACCAACTGCTCTTCCAGAAGAACCTGGGTTCAATTCCCAGCACCCACATGGCAGCTCACAATTGTCTGTAGTTCCAGTTCCAGGGGATCTTGTGGCCTCTATGGGCACTGCATGCACACGCACACAAGACATACATGCAAAAGACCCATTCACATAAAATAAAATAAATAATCAGAGCTGGAGAGATTTCTCAGTGGATAAAAGTGCCTTCCATGCAATTATAAAGATATAAGTGAGGTTCCCAGAACCTACATAAAGCATCTGTCTCAAACAAGGTAGAGAAACACACATAAAAAAAAATAAAAATAGTGTGTGGATTTTGCAGTTGTTAATGGCTATTTATGTGTACTTTGTTCTGACAGGAATCTTAAACTTGAATTTGTAAGATTTTTCTTTATTCTGTTAGACTTACAGTTATTGACTGTTATGTGTTAATTTAACAATTTTCAGTACTCAAATTCTAGCTCCTTATGTTTCAAATGAGTGATCCAATGGATTAAGTATAAAATCTGACAGTTGATGGAAGAGTTATATGATAGATTTGGAGTACAGAATTATTAGCTTCATAAGCTTTTAAATTTTTCTATGTGATATTTATGAAAACCGATTCATGGCTAAAGATGGATCTGCTGGAAATACTCTATTATCATTGCAAGCATAAATTAGATAAGTACTGTAAAGAGCTACACTCCCAGCCCTTAATCAGATGTTTAATACTTATATATTTTGTCCAAAGCATTTAAGTATCCTGTGCGAATTTATGCATATTGATATAAATTTTTATTAATAATATAATTAATAGAATAATATTAATAATATTGCAACTTTTAAGATTTTCAAGAATAATAAAGTAATTCTTAATTATATCATTGATCCAGGACAGTGTATATTGAAACTAAAATATTCTTATCCACGTGTGGTTTTAGGAACTATACTGAGTTTGAAGTTGGCTGTTTTTAATTGAACTCCAGTGTCCTCCACACACTGTATATGCCTAGCATGTTTTCAGTACAATTTACAGTAATAGCAAAGCTAATGCCATGGATATTGGAACATTTAGTAGGTTTGGTTTCTGTCACTGTTTTACAGTGAAAGAAAGTTCAATATTAAAAATTACCATGTACCTGGAGAGTTGAGGTGTACTGACTTTGTATGTAGATAGTGAAGCACTGTATATTTCAGTATTTGGGGTCTTACAAGTTCATGGTCAGCTTTTGTACTATCACGTCACTAGGTGGAGATAGAGCATTGTTTAGTAGACCAGCCAAAGCAAAAGAACCGGTTCTTGATTTCTCTCTCTCTCTCTCTCTCTCTCTCTCTCTCTCTCTCTCTCTCTCTCTCTCTCTCTGTGTGTGTGTGTGTGTGTGTGTGTGTGTGTGTGTCTGTCTATCTCTGTCTCTCTCCCTCCTTTCTTCTCTCTCTCTCTCAAAATAATATTTTACATATAATTGATGAGGCTTGTTATGTCCTAGGGAAAACGTGCAAATTCAGTATAGATTAAATTCTTTCTAATTTTTGGGGGGCCAAAATTCAACCCCACTTTAATGTCTATTTTCACACTTCTAATTCTTTTAAAATTATTTTCTGATCTTACTACTATTCCCTTTTTGTTTTCATTTTATTGTATCTTGTTACAATTAGTCTGATGTCTGTCTTTGGTGTTTAATTCTAAAAGTTTAATGACATGTGAATTTTTAATGTGGGGACAAATAATATTAAATAATTAGAATATAAAATTCTAATTTGTTAGCAGTGCAAGGTAAATGGACTTAGAGTCTAAACATACCCTGTTCTTACCTTTGTATTATTTTAAGATGGTAATGTCAAATATTAACATTTAAATCCTCTAGAGCTTATTTCTCTTCCTTTTCTTCCTTCTCTCACCTCTCTAATCTTAAGCAAGTATATTCTTTATGCACAGTGTTTCTTCATCTCAGGAACTTGGTATGTAGCTGAGGATATGGTAAATGCACCCATCTGATTTTTGGAAATTGTAAAGGAAACACTAAAAATCTTGTTCTGGTAGTCTGGCAGTTCTCAAGTGTTTATTTGCAGTTACCGTATAGTTTATCACTTTCCTATTCCTAGGTACATGAGAAACAAAAGTATATTTACACAAAAATGTAGACATGAATATTCATAGCAGTATTATCCATAATAACAAAATAATGTAACAACTTTAATGTCTATCAGTTGATAAATGGATGAAGAAAATATGGTGTTCATATTAGAATATAGATAACCTTTCTTTTTGCTATAATAAAATGCCCCGATGAGAGCAACTTAAGGGAAAAAGGATTTATTTGGCTCTAAATTTCAAGTTACATTCCATCATGGCAGGGAATTCATAATAGAGGGAGCTTGATAGAATTAGTTACATTACATCCACAATCAGCACCAATGAACAATGAATTAATGCATGCATGTATGCATGCAAATGTTTAGCTTGCTTTCTCTACTCTTAGTTTTCAATCCCCTTCCTAGAGAATAGTGCTACTCACATTGGGCAGGTCTTCCCACCTCAGTTAATATACTCAAAATAATTCCCCCCAAGACATGCCAATAGACCAGCACCCCATTGAGACTCCTTTTCCAGGTAATCCTAGATTATGTCAAGCTGACAGAGCTAACCATTATAAATACTATGCTGCAGGGAAGAAACCAGTCACAAAAGACCACATGTTACAGGATTCAGTTTATTTGGTATGTCTGGAATGGTAAATCAAACAAAGTAGAAAGGGCTGGGTAGAGAGTAATGACCACTAATAGCGTGGGACTTCTTTTGCAGTGATAAAAATGTTAGTTATGATAAGGGGTGCACAACTTGGCAGATAATACTAAATATCACTGAATTGCATGTTTACTGTAAATGGGTGAATTGTATGAATTTTGTGTCAGTAAAGTTCTTTTTTTTTTTTTTTTGGTCATTTTTTTTTCAAGACAGGGTTTCTGTGTATTGCTTTGGAGTCTGTCCTGGAACTTGCTCTGTAGACCAGGCTGGTCTTGAACTCAGAGATCTGCCTGCCTCTGCCTCCCAAGTACTGGAATTAAAGTCATGTGCCACCACTGCCCTGCTAGTCAGTAAAGTTTTTAAAATGTGTTACCCAAAGGGTTTTGATACTGAACCAAGAGATAGCAATTGATCATCTAAATAGGCACTAGACTAAGTTCTATGTATCATTATAAAGCAAATGAAAACCCAAATCCTCTCCTCGGATTGTATTTTTTTTAAGAATGGTTTCCAGTTCAAGAGAAGTTAATAAATCATTATTTCGTCAGGCACTTTTGCTTTCTTAATTCAATCCTTACCTTTTTAACTTTCTACAATCCGTCTTCTAGCTATTTTTGTAATGGACTTGATTTTCTTACCTTACGTCCATTTTCCCCTGTTGAAAAGCAAACTCTTGCACCTTAGACCTTTAACCAACTTAAGACAGCTGGTGATTCTGTGTTTCATGAAAACCTTTTTACTCAATAACTTCTTGTTGATGTTTCATTTGCTAATACCTGGAAAATCATGGCTGTGACAATTTTTTTAAGATTTGTTTTATGTGTATGAGTGTTTTGCCTCCATGTGTGTATGTACCATGTACATGCCTGGTACCTACAGAGGCCATAGAGGGCATCAAATCCCCATAGAACTTGAATTACAGATGCCTATGAGCCAGCATGTGGGTGCTGGTAATTGAACAGGGGCCCTCCGTAGGAGCAGAAAGTGCTCTAAACTGCTGAGCCCAGTCAGTAGCAGGTCACCAGTCAGTAGCAGGGCTGACTGTTGTCAGTTTTTTAATTACACAAAGTATTGTTTTGCTACAATTTAATCAGATTTTGTGATGTTCAGAAGTATAGTCCTGGGTTTACAAATTTTCATGAAAAATATCTTTTAGCAGTGTTTAAAAGTTAAACAGTTGTGTGCTTGGCATCAACCTCGCTTTATTGTTGCTAGTCTATGATTTTGATATGGTCATGGTTGTTAAAACTTAGGAAATAGAAATATTTTACTCATAGTAATGTGTTGAACGCAAAAGACTGCTTTAAAAGATAGTATCTGATTCATTTAAAGTCAGTTTTGACAAATTGACTTTATTTATGTATACATACCCACATGTTTACTTCTATGCAATTAATGCAACAATTCAATTTTTTTTCTTACAGATGCATATGAAACGGCTAAGATGCTCTGTGAACAGTATTACCTGGTAGCTCCAGAGCTGGAAGTGGAAGAATTCAATGGTAAAAGACAGAGCATTTTAGATGAGATCAGACATGGTCAGGGTGGGATGGCCATAGGCAAGAAAAAAGCATTTTAATGTTAACTACAAAGAAGGTGACTTAAATGCTGATTATATCCGTGCTCTCTTTCCAAGAGTTCCTAACATGGTACTACATTTCCATCTTTATATTCTTTCAAAATTGTTGCTATACCTTTAGCCAGCCGGGGATGTTATTCTAAGTCACTCTTAGATAGGAATGTGTAGTGTGTCTTGTGTTCAGTAGCCTTTTCCATTAATTTCAGGCTTTAATCTTGTACCTCTCCCTCTTCTTTTGTATTTGTTTCTTTCTGCTTAGACTCCAGTTGCCACTTTTCATTCTTAAAGGAAAGCTATCTGAAAATAAATTTCCTTTTGGTCTGTATGGAGTTCTGTTGAAATTTATTAAGTGCTGCTTCAACTAATGGTGTTTCAGGTAATGACTGTGCAAAACAGACTTTATTATTTCTTGAGTCTCAAGCATAAAAAACTCAACCCATTTTTTCACTGACTTTTAAAACTGTACTATTAGAGGGAATATTCATATTTTGTTCATCTCATTTTAGAAAGCAAACAAACCTATAGTAATCATCCACTATAGCCACTAGGCCAAGGATAAGGGATGAATCATAGTCAAAAACATTTTACATGGTTTTAAAAGGAAGAAAAGAAATGTCAACTGTAATATTCCCAAAGAAAAGTACACATAATGGAGCAAACCTTTAGATGACTCCTAGAGAATATTGTTTAAACTTAAAAGAAGAAAACGAACTGTAAAATGTTTTTCATTTCCTTGAGATTTGGACTGAATAGGTTGAATTGAATTCTTAGGCTGATTATATAACTAATGATGCAGTTTTCCACAAGATAGACTAAGCGCTCAGCTTGATTCTCAGGCCCAATTACAACCATAATAAAAGAATCCATAAAAACAGCAAAAGAAGCCAAGGAGGTTATAAGTGGACCTCTGTATTAGTCCCTACAGGCTGCTAAACAAAACCATCAGAGACTGGGTGAATTAAAAAACAGACATTTGTTTCTCATGGGTCTAGAACCTCGGAAGTACAAGATTGGTGTCTGATGAAGGGGCCTATTTTCTGACTTACAGATGACTTGTGCCGTTACACGTAGGAAGGGGCCAAAGACTTCTGGGTTTTTTTAGAACACTAATCCCATTCATGAGGCTCCACTCTCATGAATAATCAACTCCCAAAGGGCCCACATCTAAGTACCATCACTTTAGGAATTATGATTTGAGGTGTGAATTGAGGCAGACACAGACACTGAGTCCTGGGAATGCATTAGTGCCAACTCCTGGAAGAACACAGCCGGATAGAACTATGTTGACTGATAGGACAGGGCAGGACCAACCAAAAAGGAGACAGCAACCATTTTTTCCAGTTAGACTCGAGAGGGACTCTGGGAGCAGTGGTTAGTGGTGCAAACAACTAGAACAGAAAGGAAACTAAAGGATTGAGATTAGTTAGCTCAGAGCTCATCTGAAAGAAGCCTGGGGAGATGATAGGGACTAGCTTTACTTGGTCTAGGCTCTGCTACCAACAGCAAAGTGAGTGGATACTGTTCAAGAACAACTTACTGGGAAGGTTATGTGAAGAATATTGCTCCAAAGTAAAGCCTTCTTCATTTTAGCATTTGAAGTCCTCTCTGGTCATAGTCTACCTTTTAAAGCCAGTGGAATCTTGATCAGGTTTTAAAAACTCCCAAGGCAGCCTTCTCACTATGGGCAGTCTTCAAAGGAAAAGGATGACTAGTTACCTCAAGTGATGAATTCAGTTCTAAACTTAATTCCTAAACAAAATCACAACCATGGTATGTCTGATTTTGACAAAACCCAGTAGTATGAACAATACCTAACTGGTGTTGAATTGCTCTGCTGTTCTTGCTCAGAATAGGCTCTCTTTACCAAATTCTGAGAATGATTTTAAACTCCAAATTCTATATCTAGCTAAGCCCTCAACTGAGACATGGTTATCAGGATTCAGAAATGTGTCTGTCATGCACACTATTTAGTAAGGTGGGTTATATAACTGAGTCAATGGGCTGTATAATGTAGATGGAAAAGATATATGAGACGTTGTGGAACCCCAGAGATGTTCATGTAGCATGTTTAAAAAGCAGCTCAATCTGATCTGAAAATTTCCTAAAGAATAGCATGGATACCCTGCAAATGAAGAAGCTGGAAGATCTTGGTAATACAGTGACGATACTCAAGAGAAAAGTGATTGGGCATAATAGGAAAATGCACAGCGTAGAAGAGATCCATGCACCGTGTACTGTTACTTTTTTGTTGTGATCAAATACCATGACCAAAAACAACTTAAAAAAGAAAGACTTCATTTGGGCTAATGGTTTTAGGATAGTGTCCCTCATGGTGGGGAAGGCATGCCATGGCAGCAAGAGGAGAAAGCTACCTGATCACATTTTCATTAGCACATAGGAAGGACGGGAGGGAGTGAGAAGGATAAAAGCAAGCAAGGAATAAAATACTTCCTGTAGGAAAGTCTCACCTCCCATAACCTCCCCAAATAGCATCACCACTGAGCGATCAAGTATCCAAATGCATGAGCTTTTGGGGGACGTTTTTCATTCAAACCACCACAGACTGAATGTGATACATTTCTAAAAAAGGTGATGTGATGACGGCCAATTGGAAGAATTATAGAAAGAATCCATTTCACTCTAAGACTGAAAGTATTTTCTCCAAGTAACACAAGTTATGTCATTGGATTCACAGGGAAGGAAATAGCACTTCTGTGGCTGTCCTGCAGTGATTGGTACTTACATAAAGTATTGCCAACATTACTGGGTTTTAGCTTTCTTAACAGCCTAAAGGGAACAGATAGAATAACTAATGAGGATTACAGAACAGAATGTAAGCATCTTTCAAAATATCACAGCCGAAGTACAGAGGGACAAGATGGGAAAGGGTAAAAGGACTTTGGCTTTCTGTTTTTAGAAGGTTTTCAGCCATTTAAATGTGTTACTAAATAATATTTTAAAGAACTGATAACAAAGGGACTGGGAGCTGGAAGCATATTTCCCTAATAGAGCAGTTATTATCTAAAAACATGAGGCCCTAGACTTGATTCCTATTCCCTGCCAAAAATGTTTGTAGTCCATTTGTATTGGAGGTAACATCTGAGGTAACAACCTAAAGGAGGAAAGATTTATCTTAAACAATGGTTTACTATCCATGATAGCTTGGCTCCATTGTTACAGGTGCAAGTGTCTGATCAACAATCCAGAATAGCTATGTGTACGGCTCAATACAAAATCATGAACTATTTAAAACATTTGAAGGGTGTGTGTGTGTGTGTGTGTGTGTTTGAACAACTCAATTGTGTGGTTCTCTTGTGTCAACTTTGTAGGTGCTGCAGTGACAAAAGGTTGGACATGCCTGTAGGACATATGGCAGGATCCAGCATTATGGCAGGGAATATGTGATGAGCTAAAGGTGCTTACTTTATAGAAGCCAGGAAGCAAAGAGAAGGAGGAAAAAACTAGAGCCCAATCAAAATTGATTTTGGAGGCATGCCTTCAATGACCTGTCTTCACGCTAGGCTTCGCCACCTACCTCCTGTTGGCACCACAGACTGGCAAACTGTGTCTGTAATGTAGGGCCTTTGGGTGATACATGAGATTCAAACCAGCAGCACCATGTGTCCAATTTCAGCAGCACTTCTGTTACCTTGATCACATCAGTTTTTCCAAAGCCTGTTTGCTCATCTATAACTCATACCAACTATTTTATGACCACTATGTATTGTCATAGGGTTCTAATTTCATGGTGAATAGAAAAGCTCATAATAAATTGCCAAGGACCAAATAATTACCTCTAGCTTATATTATTGTCCATTACTTTATTAGGGGAAATCCTTAGGGTGAAGTTATGAGGTATAGTTATGAGGTATATCTGCTATATTTGAGATCTTGTTTGGAGGTTCTAGTAGGGGAGTTCAGCTACTCGTATACCCTTGACCAAAGACCAGTCCTCCTCTATTCGGGGAAGGTCGTCCTCTTCGACCGAGCGCGCAGCTTCGGGAGGGACGCACATGGAGCGGTGAGGGAGGAAGGGGACACCCGCCTAGCCAGCCAGATCAGCCGAATCAACCCTGGCGATCAATGGGGTGACAGATGTCGCAGCCAGATCGCCCTCACATCCTATCTGCTATATTTGAGAAAGATCAGGTTTCAGTGTCTCACCTGATTGCAGATCACAAGGAGGAAGAAGGACTTCATGCTGAGCATCTCTCTTTAACATGCTGTTCTTAGTGCTTTGCATGAGGTTCAGGTTCTTTGATTTTTCTCCAAAGATTCTGGTTCAAGAAGAATACTGTAGATATTCAAGGATTTCGTTGTAGTAGAAAGTTATGTGAACCTCATAGTCTGTCCTGTTTATCATTGTTTAACTATTTGTATTGGTTTTGTTTGTTTTTACAGACAGGGTTTCTGACTGCCCTGGCTATCCTGGAACTCGCTCTGTAGACCAGGCTGAACACAGACTCACAGAGATCCACCTGCCTCTGCCTCCCCAGTATTGGGATTAAAGGTGTGCACCACCACACATGGCCAGTGTTAGTGTTTTGGTTTTTTCCTTTGTAACAATGGATAAACAAATCCAAAACGTTGGTTTAGGCGCACAATATGAAAGGTTTCAACCCATCCTTTGAGCCTGTGGCAAGGCAGACTATCATGGCAGCAGGAGAAAGTGGAAGATGAGACTGCTCCTTCACAGCAGGCAAGAAAGAGCAAAGAAGGGACCAGTGACAAGACACCCTCTTCAAGGACATGCCCCAGGAACCTACTTCCAACCACATTCCACCTCCTATTTTCTGCCATTCTCCATACTGTCATTAAATTATGAATGTATCAGTGGTTTAAGTATTCATTGTGTCAGAGCCCTCTTGATACATTAATTCATTTCCCTACAGCCTGTCATCTGGCAGCTAGTCAAGCCTTCAGCTGAGCCTTTCAGTGAACAGTGAGATTCAAACCATGGCAGTGCTGTTGAGTCCAGTTTACCACCCCTTCTCAGTTGGTTCACATTCTCACAAATGACTCCTGGGGTTGATGGCAGATCTGTCTTTCTGATTTGAAAAATTCCAAGTGATGTTTGTGTGTTCTTGTGTGATGCTCAGACTACCATGGCACATATGATGTTTGTTTTGCTTAACAAAGTTTCAGAGAACTTGACTGATTTCTCAAGGTCATGAAGCTACAGTGAATGAAGTGTAGTTCACTATGTGTTTGCTTGATTCTGAAGCATGTGTTTTTGCTTAGTTATGTCATTAAATGTGGGAATTTGTATTATTAGTCTTTTATGGAAGTTCGTTTTATGTACTTGGAGAATAGAATATTTTTTTATATTCTCCTACTTTGGGTCCATGTTCATTGATGGTTTTGTCTCTGTTTTTAGCCAAAGCACCAAACAAACCTATTCAAGTAGTTTATGTGCCGTCACATCTGTTTCACATGCTGTTTGAACTGTTCAAGGTAAGTGGAATTTTAAAGCTTGGGAAGATATCTTCACTTTAAATGGTTTTGATTCTGGGCATAATGGATTCATTAGATTAGCATGAGAAAAAGATTTTGCATAACCATTTTAAAATTCTATTTCTGATATCCTGTGGGCTTTATAATCTGTACACTGTGAGATGAAAAATTGCTGTGTACAGTATAGTTTTGTGAATATTAGTACATATTGATTTTGAAACTTAATTGTACTTTTGTAACTTCACATCAAATCCACACTGTTTTTCTTTCATTTGGGAGATTAGAGATGCTTTTTAGGTTTTCAAACCTGGCAAAGGTTTTATTGGTTATTACTGTACCCAAATAAAAACACATTTCTGTGTATCTATGATTCTGGAGCATTAACTGTGCTAATGAATAATCATTCAAGTCCTGAGAGATGCTTAACCATTTTATAATTTGATTAATTTCAGAAGACCTGATAGAGGCAGGAGAGGAAGATGTAGAGCCTGAGCTAGAAAGGAAAGAAAACGAAACCCTTTTTTAGACTATGGGCTCAGCTGTTGCTTTTGTTACCAAGTATCCAGTGATATTTATGGTAGCAGTGTTTTGCATAAAGGGTATCTGAGCTAACAGTTCATCACATTTAATGTGTAAAACCCTAAAGTAAACACCTAAAGAATCAGTTGTGCTGTTTTGTTCCTAAGAGCCAGAATGCTACTGGTGTAACACACCAGTTGAGAGCTTTCTCGTCATCTGTGACCTTTCAGAATTTCTTTTTAATGGATATTTTACCCTTTTTTTCCAATAAAGTGATTCAGTTTTATGGGAAGTATGAATCCCTTCAGTTTTTCTGCCTTCATTAGAGGAAAGGTACTTTATAAAAGCAACTGATAAATAGGATTTAAAGTGCACAAATTAGCCTCTGCAGCCCCATTTCATGTGATACAGACTTTTTTTTCAGTTGGGCTGAATAATTTTAAACCCTAAAACCACCAGGCATGGTGAAACCTGCCTTTAATCCCATCATTGGACAGGTAAAGACAGGTCTGCCTATGAATTGAAGGCCAGACAGTCTATATAGTGAGACCCTGTCTTAACCATTCCCCTCCCTCAAAAATCCCTAGAGCCAAAAAAAGGAAGGAAAGAAGGTTTAACAATTAAATGCAAAATAGAATATCAGGAAAACCATCTTTGATAGAAATCCATGGATAGCCGGGTTCAGTAGAGGAAAAAAATCCACATAAAGCTTATTTGTAGTAGCTCCACAAAATAATTATCATATGTAAGTAATCTTGTGCTTATTTTTTTTAAATTGTGGGTTTTTTTTCAGGACTAGGCCTAGCTCAGTGGTAGAGTACATGCGTGGCATGTACATTGCTATCGGTTCTTCTCAGCACCAAAAATAATCAATACATTTAATTGAATTGAATTTTACTTTATGAGTCAGAAGCATGGTTTTCAAAAAGAGCTTCTTGTTTTAGAACTCGATGAGAGCAACATTTGAACTACATGAAAATAGAAAAGAGGGCTACCCTGCTGTTAAAACTCTCGTTACTCTGGGTAAAGAAGACTTGTCCATTAAGGTAACCTTTTATTTGCATTTTTCTTCAATCATCAGTTGATTTAATAGTATGTATTTAATAGTATGAGAGGGAAGGAAAGAAAATTGGCATTTCTTAAGCATGTTATTTGTAAGTAAAGTCATGTATCAGTGCTTTCTTAACAATGAACTGAACACATATATAGTAGTCATCCCGTAAGATGTTATTGTCTAGTGACATTGTAGTTATTCTGTATAAACACCTTCTAAGATGTTTGCCTGATGACATTGCCTAGTGGCACATTTCTCGATGTGTCCCTGTCATTTATGGAACCATGACTATATTGTGCTGGATTCTTGGATTAAGTTACCTCATTGAATGTTTATGAGCAGGACCTCAATCCTAAACCTGTCTGATTTAGTTGCACTACTCTGTCTCCTTTGTTTATGCCATCCCCAAAGGAACCACTTTTCTTTTTTTCTCTTCCTTTTTTTATTTAAGTTAGAAGCAAGCTTGTTTCATATTTGAATCCCAGCTCCTTCTCTCCCCCCTCCCCACCAGGTCCCCCAGTCTCCCACCCAAACTCCACTCGATCCCCAGGGAGGGTGAGGTCCTCCATGGAGGAGCTCCAGAGTCTGTCATTTCATCCAGGGTAGGGCCTAGGCCCTTGCACAAGAGTCCTGGCTGAGAGAGCCTCCCTCATTGTGGGATGGGAACTCAAAGTCTATTTGTACGCCAGAGGAACCACTTTTCAATGGCAGCTCAAAGTCCATAGTCATTTTAGAGCCTTCTAGCATGTGCTTTATTTAATGAACTCTCATTACCTCCCTAAGCACAGGTTGACTCTCCTTTTATTTTTAACATTTTGTGCACTGTAGATAAGTGACCTAGGTGGTGGAGTCCCACTTCGAAAAATAGACCGTCTTTTTAACTACATGTATTCCACTGCTCCTCGACCCAGCCTGGAGCCTACAAGAGCTGCTCCCTTGGTAAGCATGGCAAACTGCTACAGAAGGAAAGGTCTTTAGCATAGGCCTAGAGAGTTGCTCCTCTCCTCAGGTGGTTGGACTAGCCTTACCTGAATGAGGACGTTTCTGGTATGGGTGGGATCAGAGGCACCTTTTTTGCCTTAGCTATTTAGTTTACAAGTTCTTTGGACTGAGAGTGCTTTTCTCATTTGTCTAAGAAACACTCCAAGATGAGTGTTTCACTCCCAAATACACGGTGAAAAATTGTTTTCCTGTGACAAGACTACTGTCAGAGGGTCACTTACCATCATGCCACACCCTCAGAGAGGTGGGCATTATCCATGGGTGAGCAAAGGGACTGTGCAGTGTTTGGCTACAGCTTAGTAGGAGATACTTAGTGCTGCATACCTTATCTGCCTGAGTCACCCAGAGCCTTTGGGTCACCACTGTCGAATTTGTTTATATAATTAAAATATTTATTTTGTGGAATTAAGAAAGCATTGAAATTTTCATAATGTAAGCAAAAAACATATAGGTGATGTATATATTTTCAGAGGTCTCTCTATAGCACTCTTGAAATAACCTTCAGCCCTGTTCAGTCAGTGGGAAAAACCTCTGGTTACCATGGTAGCATTTATCCCTGGTAGGGCCACACTTTCTTCCCCTGCTGAGTGTTTCTAATTGACAAACAACAATTGAGCCCTTTGTCATTAAACACAGCAATGTATCTATCAGTCTTCAAAATGGCTCAGGGTATAAATTAAGTTTCATTTTAAAGACCTACCTGACTGATAAGCACATAAGATTATATTTTATTTGGATGAATAAAATCAAACACTTTGCATTGTTATTTGAGGCAGAGTTTGTTAACTCAGCGTGTGGAAAACTAAGGAAGTCATTTATATAGGATTCACGAAAATTCATAAAAGATCAATTTGGAACAGTATTACCCTGACCAGGGTCTGGTAAAAATTTTGCATCTTTACAAGTTGTTTAAAAGAATATGGATTATCTATTCCAGGTCTTAAAATAGCATCCTGAAGATAGCTCTTTATGTTTTTTGGGGGGATGGGGAACAGGACTACAAGAGACTGTTATTTATCCACCTTCCCATTATATAGATGAGGGAAAGAGGGTCAAAGCAAATTAATGGTAGAGCTGGTGCTGACTGGCTGTGAACTTCTAGTATACTGTTGTGTCTGCTCTTGAAGAAATGCATCCATCGACATCTCTCCCAGTTAATAAACAGTCCTCAACTTTAAAGTGGGCACATGGCTGTGTAGTCCTAGAAAAGAATTCTCTTTCCAGATGGCTTAGTTTTACATATCTGTGTTTTCCTTTATACATTGTTTTTAATTGAGCAAATTTTAAAGTGTTTTATGTGTATATGTGTTTTGCCTGCATATATGTATGTGTGTGTACCACATGCATGCCTATTATCAGTGCAGATCAGAAGGGGGCATCGGATCCTCTGGAGCTGGAGTTACATATGGTTGTAAGCAACCACATGTATGCGGGAAGTGAACCAGGGTCTTCTGCAAGAACTGCAAGTACACATAACTGCTGAGCCATTGCTGTAGCCCTGAAGATAGACTTTTACATTTTGATTTATTGTATGTGTGTCAAAGTCAGAGGAGAGTTTTGTGCAGTTGAGTTTTCTCCCTTTACCAGGGATTGAACTCGGGTTGTCAGGATTGCACACCAAGTGCTTTGACGCACTGACCTTTCTCACTAGCACAAGTGATGGTGGTTTTGAGGCAGAGGCTGATGTCATCCAGGTGGGCTGAGAGCTGGCTGAAGCCAGGATGACCCTGAGCTCTTGATCTTCCTGCTTGGAGAATAAACCTGTGTGCCACCTCAGGTTAGGTGGTGCTGTGGAACTGAACCCAGGGCCTTCGGTTGATAGGCTGGTACTCTACCCACTGAGCTACAGCCCCAGCTCCTGGAATGATTTTAATATACCCAATGTATCCATATGTTCCCTGGATACTTAGATAAATTTATAGGTGGTCCTTTTTTACACTAGAAATGTTACTAGTCTGTGTCATATTGATGGTGCAGAATGTGCACTGATGGTGGATGGTGCTGATGGTGTCTGTGTGCACTGTGAGGTATGGAACCATCCCGCCTTTGCATGTATGCAATGGAGCCAAATGATACTTTGTAAAGCAGATTTGTCCGTGACAAGGCACAGCCTGAAAGTACTGTTTTGCATAGCATCAAACGACTTAGAGCATGGTACAGTCTGATCTCCACATGTCCAAATTTCCTGTTTTGGGAGTATCTATTATGCCTGTTAATTCTTTGATACTTCGGGAGGTCAGAAGTTAGATCTGTAGAGTCAATTCACTACTTCTATCTCCATGTGGATCCAGTATTGAACTCGGGTCCTCATTTGTCAGCAAAACTGTGCTATATTACTGAGTTTTACTGTGCTAGATACTGCACAGAGGCAGCATTTGTTATATTATGGAATCCTTATCAGCTCGGAGATAAGCTTTTCATTTCATGATGAGAAAAGTCTTAAAGAAGTTGAATGAACTGCTCAGTCACACAGAATGGAGATTTCAACTTAGATCTATCAGAGTCAGAAGCCTGTGTAATCAGAGCCCTCTTTTCTTAGGGCCCCATTCCTGATCCAGATTTAATCCAAAGCGCTAAAGCTTACTGGATAGCATCTCCCATACCCACCTGTGGCCAACCACAAAGTCACTGCCTTTAGTATCATTGTTCTTATTCTTGCCAAGATCTGTGATCTTTAGTTTAAAAGAAATATTGGCTGCCGGTGTGATGACATCAAATGTAGAAAGGTACTAATTTTATTTTTAAAAATCCCCATTTACTGTATCAACATACTGTAAAACTTTTCCAGAGCCTTAGGAAGGAACCCCAAGAGAATTTTTTCAGTGGTCTAGTCTTATTATTGCTAAATTTCAATTCTTGCTAGGCATTGGTAGCGCACACCTTTAATCCCAGCACTCTGGGTGGCAGAGACAGGAGGACCCCTGTGTTTGAGACTGACCTGGTCTACAGAGTGAGTTCTAGAACAATCAGGGCTATATAGAGAGACATAGGTAAAATTTTATTTTAAATGCTTTTTAAAAAGTTAATCAAAGAGGAATTTTTTTTGTTACCCAAACTTGAAGGTTTTTTTTTAAACAGAAATAGGGAATTTTGGTCATAGATCATACACACAGCATTATAAAGACTGAGTTACTAATTCATATGATTTAAACTCAGGTCAAGGATTTGTTTTAATCTTCTATAAGTGGTCCCTTATGAAGCATTTGTGCCATTCTCATTCTGTTAATTTTCTTTTCTTAATAGGCTGGATTTGGTTATGGCTTGCCAATTTCTCGGCTGTATGCCAGATATTTTCAGGGAGATCTAAAACTGTATTCCATGGAAGGAGTGGGTACCGATGCTGTCATTTATCTGAAGGTACTGTGTTTTGTTTCTGTTACTGTAAAGGTATCTTGTTTTTTTAAAGCTGGAAGTATACATAGGTAGTCGAGAAGAGCACTGTATCCTCTTACCTTGAGATCAGATTTATGAAACCATGCTATGCTCGTGATTGATTTTATGCCAAGACCTAACAAAATATGAAGCATAGAGGTATAAAACTTAGAATTTTGATTTTACAACCATAGATCTAAATTGTGTTTTTTCAAAATTATATGTTCATTGAAAGAACTAGCTTAAAAGGAGACAAATTTCCAAGAATCTGAAGCTTTGTAGTATTTTACTTTAATTTCTCAAGTTATAAGAATTCAGTAATGAAGCTGGGTATTGGTGGCATGTGCCTTTAATCCTAGCACTTGGGAGACAGAGGCAGATGGATCTCTAAGTTCAAGGCCATCCTGCTCTACAGAACAAGTTCCAGGATATTCAGGGCTACACAGTGGAACCCTACCTCAAAAAAAAAACAAAAATAAAAAAGAATTCAATAATGATAATATGTTTATACAAAAAAGATCTGTAGATCTCTATATCAAGTGAGGTAACCCAGACCCAGAAAGACAAATACTGAATACTTGCTCTCATACAGATTTTAGCTTTTAATTTGTATATGTTATGGAAATGTATATGTGTATATATGCATATGTACATATTCATACATATATGGAAATGAGCATCAATATAGTTCGCAAAACTATAAAGAGGTCTGTGAGAGAAGAGATTTTGAGGATGGTGGGAGGATAGTAGAAGAGCACATAAAAGCAGAAAACTACCAGAGATGAAAGGCTACGCAGGGGACAGACTTGGGGATGGAAGAGAAAAGGTAGATGGGAGGAGACTCAGCAAAACAAATTATATACAAAAATGCCTTAATGGAGCTTTTACATTGTACATTAGTTTTTAAATCAACAAAATCATAATAATGGCCATTTAAAGCGTTCATCTAATAACTAGCTTCTCTATAACACAGTTTTTCTCATTTATTGATGGTGTTAGACTTCTATTTCTGAATTCTAGAATTCTGATATATTATTTCAATAGGTAGTAGAGGCATAGAGTAACATTTAAAAACTTCAAAATGAGAAATGAAGTGTTTCACTGCTGGCACTAAGCCACACTTTTCTTCAAGAGGTACTTTTTTATGGCTCCTCCAAGAGTTGATTCTATATTTATAGGGGTTGGGAATATAGCTCAGTGGTGTAGAGCTTTCCTAGCATGTGCAAGGCTCTGTAAAAATAATTTTTAATATTTCAAAAACAAACATGGTTACTGGCGTTTAAAAGAGTACATTCTGTGATTTTCACACGAGAAAAATAGTATCGTAGACCTTTGATGTATGTACTTTTTTCTAATAGGCCCTTTCCAGTGAATCATTTGAGAGGCTGCCGGTTTTCAATAAGTCTGCATGGCGCCATTATAAGACAACTCCTGAAGCTGATGACTGGAGCAATCCCAGCAGCGAGCCAAGGGATGCATCAAAATACAAGGCTAAGCAGTAAGAAACCACTTTGATTCCCATTATGAAGTATCTGATTTGTCTCCAGAAAGTGCCAGGCAGACAATTGACCAATATTTTGTGCCATACATTCTCTGTGGTTTTATCACTGGAAAAGCAAAGTGATCCTTAGAGAAAGAAAGACTGGAGAAAAGGCTTTCATGCTGAGAAGGAGAACAAGAATTGGGTAGCTAGAATCATCGTGTAAATGGAATGCCCACTGTCCTAGGATTCCTTATGCTTTGGAGGTATTGACAGTGAGCAGGGACTTGTTCTAGTGTGAATGTTGTTTTAAAGCAATTAAGTTTTCAGTTTGTTGTTAGTCTTAGAGAGTGGCAGAAAAATGTTTACAGAATTTTTGTGGGTCAAAATGGACTCTACACAGTGAAGCATTATTTAGTCTTTAAAAAGGAGGGAATTCTGAAACATGCTTCAATATAGATGGGTCTTTTTTTTTTGTTTTGTTTTTCGAGACAGGGTTTCTCTGTATTGTTTTGGCGGCTGTCCAGGCCCTCACTCTGTAGACCAGGCTGGCCTCAAACTCACAGAGATCCTCCTGCCTCTGCCTCCCGAGTGCTGGGATTAAAGGCGTGTACTACCAACGCCCAGCTAATGTAGATGAATCTTGAAGTCATTATTAGATGTGGAACACACCATACACAAAAGCATAAATAGTGCTGCTGTCCCGCTTTTGTGAGATGCCTAGAGCAATTGTTTCAGAGAGTCAGAAGGTAGAAGGGTGGATGCCAAGACTTCAGGGGAGGTGAAACAAAGAATTCCTAATGAGTACAAACTTTGTTCGTGATCATGAAATTGTTCTTGATATACGTAATGGTGATGGTTGTGCAACAGTATGGATATGCCCAAGTAACTAAGCTGTTCACTGAAAAGTAGCTGCTAGTGAGTTCTGTATTATGTATAGTTTATTAGAGTAAATTATTAAAAATGAGTTGTTACTCATAGAATAGCTATTACTATTTTATATTAGTAAAGTGACACTATATATGTTTATAAAACATCCTAGTTTTTGGTTTCCCATAATGCTTCACTGTGTGATAGACTCCATTTTTCAATTTAAAATAATCTTTTATTAATTTGCATGTTACAACTAAAATAAAACAAAAAACTAGGCAATATTAAGTGAAAGAAAAAAATCATTGTATTTCCTCAACTCAGACATTACTATGGGTATAGATTTGTGTATATTATTTTAAATAATTTGCTATTCATATATATATTCATGTATATATATGCATTTTCTCCAAGTGAGATCACTTTTTATACTGTTGAACAACATGCATTTGTTTCATTTAACTATCTCTACTTTTCCATGTCAATAGTTTTCATGTCTCCAAACTGGGATCAATTGCAGGACCACATGCCATATCTGGATAGTCTCAAGTTGTTCTTAATATAGAAAGTGTTGCTGTTGAAAGATCATGCCAGCAAAACATCCCCATCTTGATGTGTTTAGTTCTTCTCCGAAGTATCATTTAGTTTGTTCCTTAGTCCCATATTTTATGGAAATCAAAGTTGTTATAATGGCTCTCAGTGGAGCTTTTTTTTTCCCTGCTGGAATACTCCATCAGTACTAGTGCAAAATTATATGTTTAGATACATGACTTCTGGTTCATCCATTATTGGTGATGCTAAGGGTAGATCATAATTTAGGTGATAGCTATCTGATCCCTCTATTGCAGTGGTTCTCAACCTTCCTAATGCTGCGGCTCTTTAACACAGTTCCTCCTGTTTTAGTGACCTCTAACCATAAAATTATTTTCATTGTTACTTCATAACTAATTTTGCTACTGTTGTGAATCATGATGCAAATATCTGATATGCAGTGTGTCTGATATGTAACCCCTATGAAAGGCTGGTTTGTCACCTAGGGATCTGCCTTAAAGGATGTTACAAGAGTTTTGGGTCTTGTCTTTTTTTTTTTATTTGTTTTTCGAGACAGGATTTCTCTGTGTAACAGCCCCGACTGTCCTGGAATTCACTCTGTAGACCAGACTGGCCTTGAACTCACAGTGATCCACCTGCCATTGCCTTGTGAATGCTAGGATTAAAGGTGTGTGCCACTACCACCCAGCTTTGCCTTGTCTTTTTGAGCATTGTAGATTTAATAGTGTTTTATTGTTTTATACATTATACTCAGAACTTATTTTTTATTTTTTTTAAAGATTTATTTCTTACATATACAGTGTTCTGTCTACATGCCAGAAGAGGGCGCCAGATTGAATTGTATGTAGATGGTTGTGAGCCACCATGTGGTTTCTGGGAATTGACTCAGGACCTCTGGAAGAGCAGTCAGTGCTCTTAACCTCTGAGCTATCTCTCCAGCCCCAGAACTTATTTTTATAGAAGTATAACATATAGTAGAAAAGTCTACAAATCTGAAGTCTATGGCATGACACACATTTATATGTTCCTCTCTCCGATATACTGAAAGACTCCTTTCTAGCCAGATTGTTCTCCTCTCTACCATAGAACATGTTTTCTGACCACCACTGGAGGTTTTTCTTTTTATCATAGAACAAAAGAGCATTCACTCTTGTCATCTTTGTTCCCTGTGAAATCCATTCATGATATTTCATGTCCCAGTTGTTAGTGTTCAGGCATCTGTACTGGCCTGTCCTTGGGGTTCTGATAGGATATACCTTCAGCTGCAGCTACTAAGAGTACACATTCACTATGTTCCCTTTTAAAAGGCCCTGCCCACCTCCCATCATCTCCACCATCCCCCCTCCTCTCTCTCCTCTCTCCCCTCTTCTGCTCCTCCTGTCCCTGGAGGCCAGTCTCTCCCCTCCCCTTTTTATGATCCCTTTCCCTAATAAAAAAGTCCTTCTGTTTGAACCCTGTTGCATGGCATCTTTCTCTTGCTGCTTTTCTTAAATCACAACAGCAATCATTGTTTTTGCTGCTTAAATTGGCACACTTTTGGATAATAAGAGTTATTTTGAGCTTGGTTTTCTGTCTTCTGTTGACAAAAGTACATTAATTTTTGAAAGTTGTCCTACTTTCTTGCCTAACATGATCTCCTAAGCTCAGCTTCACCTTCTATGCCCCTGTCCTGGAATCAGCCACTATATAGTTTCCTTTAACAGATCTCATTACACCTCTTCTAAGCCCTTTATCTGGATAGAGGTTCTCAACACAAACATACATGTACGTATCTATATACCCAGATATCTAAGTTCTTGTTGATAGTTTTATTTTTTTATTTTAACATTGATTATTTTTCCCTAACCTCTCCTACAAACCTTGACTCTTAACATCTTTAATATGGCAGAACAGAAACATTTGTGGGCAAGTGTAATTTACATAACTTTGCAATATTATACCATATAGTAAATTCTTTTTTTCTCTATTTTTCCCCCAACATAAATACCTACTGATTATTTGGGCATTTCATACTATGCACCTTGATCATACTCACTTCCCATTCCTTCCAGGTCCAACCTCTCACCTTTGAGCCCTCCCCCCAAAAAAGAAAAACATACATCAAGTCCAATTTGTGTTGCCCATATAAACATTGGAGCCTGGTCAAACTCCCAGTGGCCAAACCATTAAAGATAACTGAGTTCTTTCATTTCCCCACCCTAACCCCCACCAGAAGCCATCAACTGTGAAGGACTCTGCTGATGTTTTCTAATGAGTCATATAAAGCATAAAACACATCTGTACTGCTCTTTAATCTTTCCTGAAGAAACACATAGTGGGCTTCCATGTAGCTCATCTCAAAGCATGAAATTTTAAAGGGATTAAGTCACTCATCATCCGTCATATGATAGTAGCAAGAAAATTATCTCTGCTGCTCCCACAGTGGGTGATTTTTCCCAGGGAAGAGTTGTGCTCTGACCAGCTACACAAGACTGGATTGTATCTCTTTCTGTATCATATCAGTTTACTGTATCACATCAGTTTACTGCAATCCCATTTTCAGTCTGTATGTAAGCCAGATATCATGTTTGCCATCCGTGTAACCAGTTAATTCGAATTGTTACTCAGCTACATGGAGGAATTTGGGTAGTACTATAAGCCATCTTTCATAAGAGTCATTTGGGGTGTGGAATGGTGGTTTTAACAGAAAGCTGTTTTCAAAGCCATACTTTAGCTAGGCATGGTGGCTCATGCCTTTAATCCCAGGATATGAGAGCCAGAGGCAGATGAATCTGTGAGTTTGAGGCCAGCCATCATCTACATAGCAAATTCCAGGCCAGGTAGAGTTACACAGTGAAACCCGCAGTAAATAACTTAATATATTGTATGCTAATAAGGTTCAGTCCTAATTTTCAACATGTTTCAAACAAATCTTAGCAAAAATGAATTACTAAAGTAGTTAACTTGGCAAGTTAAAATTGTTAGGCTTTACAAACAATACTGGTTAAACACGTGAGGAACGATCTTAGAACAGGAGTGGGAATGGGAAAATGAGTGCCTCTATGGAAAGAGGTCTTAAAAAGTGTATTCTTTAGTGAGTTTTAACTAACCCTAACTCTAACCCGTAACCCTGAGTTAACCCTATCCCTAATCTAACTCTACCAGTTGTATTGAAATGTAATTCACATACCATACAATTTGCTCTTTTGAAGTATACAGTTCAGTTTGGGGTATATTCCAAGTTTACAACCCTCACCACTGTTGTAAATTGAGACTTTCTCAGGCCAAGAAGAAATTCCATATGCATTAGCAGTCATTTTATGGTTCTAATTGAATATTTATTTCTTATTTATTTATTTTTTGTTTGTTTTTGAGACAGGGTCTCTCTATAGAACCCTACCAGTCCTGGAAATCACTATGTAAACCAGGCTGCCCTCTAATTCACAAGGGTCCACTTGCCTTTGCTTCCTGAGTGCTAGGATTAAAGGCATGCACCCCCCATGTCCAGTTCCTAATGAAACTTTTAATTGTGAGTAAAGAACTTTTATAAAGCCGGGCGTTGGTGGCGCACGCCTTTAATCCCAGCACTCGGGAGGCAGAGGCAGGCGGATCTCTGTGAGTTCGAGACCAGCCTGGACTACCAAGCGAGTTCCAGGACAGCCTCCAAAGCCACAGAGAAACCCTGCCTCAAAAAAAAGAACTTTTATAAAGTTTATGTAAGTAACAAGCTGCTGCTTTTTCTGTAGTAACTGTAGAAAATAATTCTGAGTTAAGGCAAAGGTTTTGGAATTATCACTATTAATTTTCTGAGTAAGTTTTAGTTAAAATAGAGAAGGGTTATACTCATGAGCTCTCTATGGATTCTTTTCTTCATAGGGACAATATCAAGACTAATAGAATTTTATAGAAAACCGGATGCTGTGGTCGTCACTGAAGAAAGATTATCTTCTTCTGCAAGTTAACCAGAGACCCTTATTGTATCAACTCTTAACTGCGGCACTATTGTTATTCCCAATGCTTGAATATGTTGCTTCCTTTATATTGGCTCAGTGTTTCCATGGGGCCCTTCCTGTAGTTAATCCACTCATATCTTCCACTAAAGTTGTAACCTGAGCAATTTTTCATGGAGTCTTTCTGTGGCATCATTTGTACCCTTCACAAAAGAGCACTCTTACCCTATACTGTATATCTTGTCATGAAGTTTAGTGTCTGAAGTCTTCCCAAGATTCTGAGCTTCCTCATTCCAGATACCCCAGATCATACTGTTTCGGTTTGTGGTCTATGACCTCCCGCTAGGACCTGGGAAGTCTGGGAGTGGAAGGCATCAGTGGAGTATATCTTGAAATATAGCTCCAGGGTTCTTCCCGTCCCGTACATGCAATCTCTGATTTAGACTTTTGCTGACTTCTAGTCAACATCGGACTTGTAAAGAGTGGCAAGTGCAGGTGTGTGTTTCTGTTAAAGCACTCTAAAAGTTGTCTTGGAATTTCTCACTTAACACCGTGGTTTGAAAGACAACTTTTAGAGTGCTTTAATCATTGGAAGAGAAGTATGCAAATGAACTTTAAAGTAAAACTAATACAGATGAATAGGCTCTAACATGAAAGTAGAACACCTCACAATGAGAATAAAGTCAGATAGAAGTCTGACTTTATTCTCATTTGCAAGTTTGACTGTAGGAGAAAGGCGGCAACAGAGTCATTGCAGTATCAGTTGTCTTGCTTCAGCACTGTTTTTATTGTCTGAGGGCTGCCTACTGATTGCCGTACTCCCACAACAAATACCATATAAGGGCTGGTTATAGCATAGAAAAGCTTTGTCATATTCTTTTTAAGTTTTTTTGAAAAGCCAGCTTTTGTTTAAATGTCGTAAGGATTTAATCCACAGGCCTTCACTAACATTCTTGGACTTAACTCTCCATCTAAACCTAGTCCATTCCAGCTGTTCTGTCTTCTTGTCATCAGTAATTTAACCTCAGCCCTAAACCAACCACAAGAAGAGTTTCAGGAACATCCTGCATTCTCATCGTTTATTCTCCCATTGACCGGCACATTTGTGTATCCTTTCTACTGATGGTTAAGCATGTCCCTCTCGCTCTGTGAATTTTTATATATGTTACAAATTAATATTGACCCCTGTTTTCAGCTGAATACTTCCCCATTTCTCCATAATGCCCTCCAGTTTATACTCTTAAGTGTCTGGGAGCCGTATATACTATTTGAAACAGTACCTGGCATGTAGTAGGTACTTAATATGTATTTGTTGATTCAATGGATTAAAACTGGTAGAAACTTGCAATAGTGGATGTGGAAACATCTTTCTAAGTTCTTCAGATACCCCTAACTTCAAATTGGTAATGATTTGGGGCAGTATACTGAATTTCTCTTTATAGTGCTAAGAGATGGCTTTAAAATGTGATGAAGTGACAGGAATTAGAAATGGATCCACATGAGCCATGTGAGTCATTGCCTGTCTTGGAATATCTAGTTTGGATTCATAATACAAGGGCTTCTTTCTGTCTAGTGATGTGGTTTCACAGTCCTCCTTAGAGATTCCAAAGAACTTAACATCCAGCACCCCATGTGATCCTTACAATGCCAGGAGGTGGACTATGCAAAGTAGCTTTTATTTGTCATGTCAATTCCAAAGCAGTTAAGTGACTTGCCAAGGAGACATGCAATGTGAGTAGCAGAACCAAAGTCGGTGCTTGGGGCTTCCTGTTTCTAGGCCAGTGTTCTGAACAACTTGATCTCTTTAGAGGAATTTCTAGGGCATATTAATCTTCGAGGATGATCTGTAAGTCAACAGTTTTCTGTAATGCAAGGCAGTTACACTCAGGAAAGGTTTTCTTTGGTGTGTTTCCATTCTGGCAGTTAGAGGAGACAAGTGGATTAGGCAGCTTTTGCCTTGTAAAATGAACAACTTTAGACTAGTGTAGGTCATGACTAGAGTTGATATTTGAATGAGATTAGTGCCTGCTGCCAGCCCTTTTGTACAAAGATTCTACATTTGGAAGCTGATGTTCTGTGTTTTGGTAGATTCAATTACAGCTTCAATTAGATGCTCTTACACATTCTTTGTATTGCCGTTGCTTACAATAATAGCTCGGCTGACTATCAAAACCTCGGATCACATTCTGTCCTCCCTAGTTTCTTTAGAGACTTTATTTTCTATATCTGGTGCTCCAAAGTCAGTGAGTACAGAAGGATTTTTCTTTCAGTTTTGTAGACAACCTGCTTGCTTGGCATGGTTGCATGTTTCTCCTTGATATTTTGTAACCTCGTTTCAGTATAGCTAAGGGTTGGTGTTGTCTGCTGGCTTTCTCTGGTCCACAGGGAGCTGTAACTAACCACATATTGAGCCTTATTACATTTTGTATCATTTTGTACTGTTCTGTTCTTCAGAAATGTGTTTCTCTATCAGCTGATGTGTTACCCATTTTCTACATTTCTTTTTTTTTATGTCTTTCATCTCCTTGTCTTCTTTCATTCATGATCTTTCCACCCTTGAGTCTTATCCTCTGTTTCACCAATTTGGCTTCTCTTTTTTTCTAAACCTAATGGGTTGCTTTCACTTCTGTCATATTTGCCTTTTTTTAAAGAATTTAGTCATTATTTTAGTCCTCTTTGATGCCTTATTTCTTTGAGGACCAAACCTTTTTATCTAAATTTTTCAGGGTTTTTGAAATCATTCTTTTTCCAGATTTAATTTGCGTATCTTTTGCTTACTCTGTCAGACACACTCCCGGGGACTATGCTGTGGGATTGTGGCTCTTACTAATTTCATCATAAATCATTTTTTGCTCAGTTTTTTGGACATGTGTGCTGTCCAGGGGGGATAGAACACTTATACAAACATATATTTATTCTGCTGCCTTTGCCAGTGGTCCAGATGCTTAAACATTGACTTTAAAGATAATGTCCTTCATAATCTATATGTTAATAAACAGAAGGAACCAATATTGCCAGCGGGAGAGCACCGTTAATGATTTAATCAATAAAAGATTTTTGTTTGCTGTTCTGGGTGAAAAGATAACTTTTAACTCCAGTTCCTGCCACACTGATTAGAGATATCAGCACCTTCTGTTTGAAAATAGAGGGACATGTGAAATTTTAATGAACTTGAGACGTTATCAGCCATTGACAGTGATTAATTTGTTAATTAAATATGGTAGAATACTTATTACTAGGGCATAATCAGAGTTATCGAGAGAAGTGTAAGCTTGTTTAATTGCAGTTTGTAGACAACCTCACCGAGGGTGTTGACCATTCTAAGAGCTTCACTGTGACATGTGATTCATTAAGAGATAGAAGTCTCTGTCGGTTCTACTGATGTCGTCCTGTCATCCCAACATGCAGGCGGTGAAGGCAGGAGTAAATGTAAGGCCACCCTGAGAACCTGTGTGAAAGAAGAGGAGAGGAAGAAAAGGGGAAGGAGGGAGGGCGTTGGAGGAAGAACACAGGGTAAAGAAGGGAGGGAAGGATGTAAGGAAAGAGGCATGAAGGCTTCATTATGGCTTATTCTTGTATTTGTGAATACACATTCAAACAGTTTGTAGGTCTGGGGCCTACCATAGAAGAACATGGGATGCTATTTTGGAAAGTATATTTTTTCAAAGGTAGATCATGGGGTAAGGGCTTATTTGGGATGCTTGTAGTTCTTAAACTTCCTTGCCTCAGTAGCCAGACATTCTAGTAGACAGCCAGCAGCAGACTTTGTCACCACCAGAGCTCCCATACAACGAGCAAGGACCACAAATGATAGCCTTGCAGTATCTACCAAACCATGCATGAGGCAGGGCATTTCCCTGAGGTCACTCTGCCTCGGGCTGTGCTGCTGTGAAATAGGTAATTGGACACAGCAGTCCTCAGCTAACACACTGCATGCAAAGGTTACAGACAGAGGAGTCATGGGAAGGAAAATCGGGTTAGGTCTTCAATTTCAATAATACATTGTGCCTACCACATGTTAGAAACTGTACTCAATTCTGGGCATGTGACCGTGATCAACGCAGAGTGGAATCCCTGACTCGTGAACTCCGGTTCTAGTAGGGACAAAATAGAGTAATTTCCTGGTTCACTTTGGAAACAATTACTGTGGGGAAAGTGAAAGACTTCAATTTCATAAAGGACAGATATAGTCTTCAGAGAAGCAAGCATTCATGATTTCCCAGTCTATCAGTCTGAAGTGTGAGAGTCTGTCTTCTGTGCCTGGCTCTTCACTCTACTCTGCCACGGTCCCTGCCAAGGTCCTTGGACCACAGCTTCAGTAGCTAGACAGCAGGACTGAGCCCATCCCAGTCATTGTCTCCCTGGCCAACAGGGAGGGGCCCGCTTGCACAATCAACTTCTCATGGAATAATAAGAGCTGCCATTTGACTCTTTGTAACAAAGACTTCTACAGGTTTGGATATTTCTGTTTTAGGACTTCATTTAAGGACCAGTGAGATGGCTGAGCTAGAAACGGTGCTTGACGTCATGACTGACCACGACCTGAGTTCAATCTCCAGGTCCCACATGGTAGAAGGAAAGAAGCAACTGCTGCAAGTTGTCCACGAACCTGTGCAATACGCTGTGGCACGTGCCATGTAATAATGTTTTAGTCCAAAGTTTAGAAGTAGCTGGATAATGAGACGAGAGTTCAAATCACTGTTGGTCAGGAGGGGGGGCCCTGTTTAACACTTCAGCTAGTTTCTGAGGTGGAGGAAGGGTATCCAAGAAGGCTTCCCTCTGAAGTCTACATCTACAGTTGATAACAGCTGTGTTCAATTGCCACAATGAAGGCCGTATTCCAGCCACAGAAGTCTGGAGAAACCTCTATGTCCATGAATTCCTCCTATCTTCATGATAGAGTCTGAAGTGGCCAGAACATGGGCTGACAGTTGGTGTATACCACACAGCTTCCTGGCCGAAGATTGACTTTCCCTCAGAGGGAATATTGGAGCCTCAGTGGGAACCTGTTCTCCATGCCCAGCTCTCTGCCTTCTTGGGACAGATCTGAGTAAGCCAGCAGTGAGAGCTTTGACTGGTTGGAGAAGGGGATAGAATGGCTTTAATAGTGTCCATAGTAGATCCAATTTCTCACCGTTTAAACAGCCTGATTTTCCATCAACA